CGAAATCCCTTCTACCTCTGGACAGCAGCCCCCTAAGCTGTTGAAGCAATTACGTGTGTTTAGACTAAGCGGTGCAGAGCTGTGAGAGAGATCCTGAGCTATCAACTGGGGCCAAGCAACATTCACGGATGTTGAAGCAGAACAGGCACAGCAGCAGAAGGCCAGGCCAGGGCTGAATACCTTGTCTCAGCTGTGCCACTGGCTGCACTGGTCCCAGAGCTGGTGGGCTGAGCACTGCTCAGGCTGCGCACTGCTCAGACTCCAGTGGAGAGTGCACAAGAGGAATAGGATAATACTGCTCCTCAAAAGGACCATCATTATGTAAAAGATCCTTCCAAATCCTGACAAAACAAAAGCTTATGACAGCATCAGGCAGGCTGCTCTCTACCTCACCCACACAATCAGGCTGCTCAGCCCGCATCCAGCTCCCTGGGAAATTCTGCCCACGAGGAACCCAGCAGGCTCTGCTGATGCAGGACCAAGTTGTTCCCAAAGATTTACAAAGAATCCCACTCTGCAACAAACCTCAGCTGCACCTGAAGTGATTTAATAAGTGGTGATGATTTTTGAAGCATTTATATCAGTGAATCAAACTTGTGTGGTTTTTGGTTCTATTCCAGTTCAGGTTCAGCAGTTCTCAGCCGATCTGGTTAAGACCAGTAGCAGTCTGCACTGATTCATGTTGGAAGCTACAATATTTTCAAACAAAAAGGACTGTGTACTAAAGGCAGGGAGCTACAGCCAGGCCAGAAACATTACTCCACTCTCTTGTGTGCAGGACAATTTGTGGTCCTAGCCGAGCCCTGCAGCTTCTCAGGGAACTGAGGAGCTGGAGAAATGCATTGGGAACGTGAAGGGCATGACAAGGCATGAGGGGTCTCAAGCTTCCATGGATCTGCTTCCCCCTCTTGAATCTGTGTCTGCACACCAGCAGGACACATAGGTACCCATACCTGTTTCTGCTGCCCTAACCAGGGAGATCCCATCAGGCTGATGGGAGCCCATGGGCTCCAAGTGAGAACAGAGCACGCCTTGCCAAAGGAGGACAAGAAAACCCTGTCCCACTAGGAGGAACTTAGGCCTCATTTTCAGAACAAAAACTCTCAAAAAGGTTTTGCAGAGCCACCCAGTCCAACCCAGCATCATGGAGCAGGAACAGGCACTCCAGCTGCACATGCTTGCACAACACTTGGGAGGGGGGAGACCACACTACAGCAGTCCCTGTGCTGAATAATTTCCTGCTGGGGAATGTCAGGTTTTAGTCAAAGAGCTCTTTTAATCTGGCAACTTGAAATATTTCTGGCTTAGAAAAAACAGGAAAGATCAAAGAAACAAGCAGCAAATTCCAAACGTGTTTCTTTGACTCACTGGCTTACTATTTGAGGGAAAAGCCTGTACCAGGTTTTGTAGCAATTTGTTTCTACATTGACATTCATAATCTGGTCTGACTGAGGATGCCCCCACACACCCTCTAAAAAAAGGCACAGCTACATCAGTTAAAAAGATGCTTATATTTACAAGAGTAGAGCTTAACAATATGAACGGTCCCTGTAGCAACTGTACCTGCTCAGGTGAATTACTGCTGTGAGCAGAGATTTGCGTAGCCAAGTTGCCGGGTACTGCAGCAATCAGGACCAAAATTTTAGCAATGGGAGATGCTTCAACCCTTATTTTCCCTGCTATCCTGATAGTGCCGTTCATTCCAGGCAATCAATGCTGCTTCAAAAAGGCACTTGGTGCCCAGTGTTTAATTCTGTGTCTCTACTGAAATCACAAGCACAGTGACCAGAAGCACGGCTGCGTTTCTGGTAGAGCTAGTAGTCCTCTAGAAATTGAATGCGGGCCAACTAACTTCTCTGAGGAAATTTTAGCTTCCAGCCACCACACTGACATGTTACAATTCCAACAATCAACAGGCCTAGACTTAAGCCACTGTACTCTGGGTCTATATTGGTTCAACACAACGGATATCTGGAGAGGACAGAAAAAGTGCATTCAAGCCATGAACACTGGAAGACAAAAAAAAAAATAAAGTCTAAACATAGAGCTAGTCAGACAGCAACAAAAATCAGGACTCCCACAAAACAAAAGTTGTTTTCAAAAAGCAGCAAAAAACATGAACACTACATCCAATTTGTCAACAAACTTTCCTTAAAGAGCTCCTGTTCCTTCCCCCCCCCCCCTTTTTTTTTTTTTTTAAATAGCCATGATTATGCATTGGTTCCTCAGTTTTACTCCTGTAGAGATCTCCTGGAGCTGTACAGTAAAATCATGCATTAATTACAGGCAAGAAGTAAGTCCTAAGAAAAGTCACAAAACAAGTTCTCTCTTGTACAGCTCCCAAGGAACACACTGCATGTCCTGCATAAACGTCATGCAAAATATCTCTACTTACCCACACTCCCCCTTCCAGAGCAATGCACAAACAGGTCTCTGCGGAGCCGGCCTCCCACAGCCTGCCCACGTCCAGCCCAGCATCGAAGGGCTGCTTCACTGAAAGGAACCAATTTTCACAAGGCTTCCCTTCAGCATGACAAACTGCCCCAGGGGCCTGTCCCTAACCATGGAGACAGCCTGGCAGGCCTCACCCCGCCAGAGGGTTGTTTAGGAGAGAGCAGGGACACCAGGGACACTTTCCACTGGAGGGGAAAATCCCAGCTCATGGAAGTCAAGGCAGTGCCACTGAGGGTGCTTGTCTGTTTTAAATTGAGCAGCCAGTTGCAATAAAAGCTCGGGGGACTCAGAAGAACCGCAGGGCTGTTGAGGGCTCGCTCTTCACCTACATCTGCAGGTACAAAGCACAATATCACCTTTCAGGCATTAACCTAGGGCAACAGTCCTGCTCCATCCCATGTAACCAAGCAGAATTCAGCAGAGGTGACCAACCAAAGCTACCAGCTTCATGGGCCCTTCCATACCTCCATGTGACTGGAGTCACATGCATCTTCTGGAGCAGTCAAAGTCCAAGAGACAAAGATGCCTGAAAAACCCTTCCCTGCAGGTCAGCAAAGATCCTTCAGGAGCGATGTGTATGATGCTCAATTTCAGCCCCAAGGGATTTACACTCGCATCAAACAGCAGACTGAGAGGCTCTGTTTCCTGCTGTTCTAGAAAAGTAGAGCTGCTTCTCACTTTGGAAGGCAGAGGAGCACACGCGTGACACAGGGAGCATGTGCACAGATATCCAACATATGTCGGATCTTTGGTAAGGGGCCCACTCTTTTTTGCCTTGCCCACTCCAGCTGTCCCACTGAAGGCAGGCCATAACTCATCTGAGGGAAATTCAGAGCAGATCGCTTTAGGAAACCAACACCAGCACCTAACTTCTCATCATGACAAATTGCTTCTACCAGCAAACTCCCCAGCAGCTCCTTTACATCTCACTGATTAACTCCTTTCACTAATAAGATAGACAAAATCCAGCCCTCAAACCCTAATTTCGTGGTGTGGAATGAATCCATGATATCCCCAAGGGATCAGACAGCCCTGGCTGCACATTGGGAGACAGCAGAAGGGATACAACAGACTTCTTCCAAAAGGCATGTGCAAGGAAAACAAGACAAAACAGGTACCAGAGAATACCTTGGGGTGTGTAGCAGCAGGTTCCAGCTCTGAAAGGAGTGTGCAGACCTCAGCTCTGATTCACAGAGACAGAACCCTATGCCCACTGTACGTGGTGGTACAGGTGGTTTTTGGCTCCTTTGACAGACATCTCTGCAGAAAACAGTTCAAACTGCCCTTCAGCAACAGCTACAAAGCACCTCTCACTGGCAGCCCACACATGCACACACCAAGGTCACGCACAAACACCATGGGCTCTCCTCTAGACAACTTGGAGGAAGCTGAGCAGGTTTTTCTCTTGCTTGGCAAAAGAATAATATTGTGTTCCTTGGTATTAAACAGCCATCTCAGGGAAACTCTGACCTGAACCAGAGTTCAGAGAACATGATTTCATGCTGGGGACAGGCCATTTAGGTAAGGTGTCATTTATTTCCCCTGACATTTTACACACACTCTTCACTCCAATAAATAAATTTTGAAGCACTAGTGTTTTGAGACAAACAAATGCACTTTATAGTCATGGGTTACAAACATTTCTTATTTATTAGCGAGTCTTCACAAGGGGGGGAGGGATTAAGCTTTCTATGTATGGAGAGAGCAAGCTACACAAAAGTTGAATGATTTGCCCAGGGTTACAAGTGAATCAGTGGCAGGGGCAGAACGAGGTGCCCTGACTCAGAGGTGCCTGCTGTCAGCACAAAGCAATGCCACCCAGCTCCTGTTCTCCCTGCAGCTGGGGTTAAGCCATCCTCCTCTCCTCATGACACCAGTTAATTCCCAGTGAGTGACTGTCTGTCAGGAATTCTCCACAACACCAAGAATGATGGATTTTTCTGGTAGAAGCAATTATACCCCAGACAAGACATCCCAAGAGAAGGGAGGTCAGAGGCACACGAAGGAGAAACACAGAGGAAAGCACATCCCAGCCTGTGGAACACAGACACCATCTAAACAGTCACCTCTAAGACATATCTCGTATCCTCCACCTTTCAGACCACCCTACCCTTCCCCACACACTCATAGAAGACTCCGTTGCGGGGCTGAGAGCAATTGCTTACACAGAACAGGTCTTTGTGTACCATTAGCTGCTGATAATGCGGGTGAGCAGTTGGAAACATGGAGGAAGAGGAAGCGTTATATTTATCCCGTCAGTCATCTGTAACAACTCCACACACTGCTTTTGGGAAATCCCAAAAGCTTTCTGATACAGACTGGGTACATACCACACAAGCAAAACGAGTGTTTCAGAATTGGGACCTGGGCTTTAGCAAGGATTTGCAGCACAGAGAAGATCCCAACTAAAAGACAGAGTACAGTCACGTATCAGTTGCTCTGCATCACTCTACAGTTACACCAGGTCTCCCAAAGCAGCATTGTTAGTACAGATGGACCTTAGGCAACAAAGTTAAAGCATGCTGGCCATACCACACAGCACTCACCTTGCTGCCTATATCTTCACGCTTGTTCCCAGGCTTGCTTCTCCTCAGCTTAATGGAAGGGGAGCGAAGTAGATTTTTGATCCGACTTGTTATTGTAGACCCTTCAACCGACATCATCTCCAGGTGCCAAGAGGGTATTCACCCCTCACACAGACCGTGCCTGTGGAACGAGCCCAGGTTTGAGGCAGAAATACCGACGTGCTCTGCTTTGCTTACGCTCGTTCACATATCTCTCAGCGATTCTGCTCGGGAACTCCACTCCTGTTACACTGCAAAGCTATTCACAGAGGCTGGCAGACTTTCCTTTTGCAGATTCCAGAGGATCAGATCAGCAGTAATCTAAACTGAAAGATGCACCCATGGGTCAATATGACATTCACAATAAATTCCAGCCTCATTCTTAGCAAGAAATGCCAAATGCAAGAATTTACGATAAGGATGGGTGCAGTAATACTTGTTCTCAGAGGCTTCCACAAAAATTATCATCCCTTTTTGCATCAATTAGCACATCTAAGCCCATTCCCAGATCCAAAATGCGGGTGTTTTACACTTCAGTATCATCTTATGACAAAGACAAAAATCCCCACCATTGGGGTCCATTAACGGTGTCCATCCAGCCCCTTGCTTCCACTCCACACGCGTCCATTCCTCCTTAGGCTTCACAGTCTGGAGAGCACAGCGCTGTACTTGATTATTAAACGCCAAGTCGCAGAAGCACACCGAGAATAAACACGAGGGAGTTTTTAACTCTCACAAATTCAGCTCCGCTTTAAGTACACACACGGTGGGCGACAGCTGATAAAAAAAGGCGTTTAATATTTCACACCCCCCGCACCCCCCTATTGATCAAGGGGAGCAAGGAGGAGCTGTAAGTGCTGCCAACGCTCACGGACCCCCGGCCAAAGCCCTCACCTTTCCCGAAGCCCCGGCGGTAGCCGATGGGAAAGAGGGATCCAGTCAAAGCCTGCAGTAAATTACCCTCCCGGCTTCCGTGCAAAATGGGGGCGGGGGGAAGAGAGAGAGCGAGAAGGAGAGAAGGGGGGAGAGAGAGAAGAAGAAGAAGAGAGAAACCTCCAAGTCAGCACAACCGCCAGCCCCGCTCCCCGCGGCGGCAGCGCTGAGGGGGACGCGCCTCCCTCCTCCGCCCCGCCGGGTTAAACCTCTCCTACCTGGCGCCGCGCCGGGCCGGGCCGGGCCGAGCCGAGCCGAGCCGAGCCGAGCCGAGGCCGGCCACCGCGGTGCCCCGCAGCGCCTGCCCATGCAGCCGGCCTCCCCCGAGGAGGGGCCGCGGCGCGGGCCGCCCCCGCGGGCGGGGCGGGGCGGGGGGGGCCGTTCCCGTTCCCGTTCCCGTTCCCTCAGCGGGGTGGCGGCTCCGGCTCTCGGGCCGGAGGCGGGGGGCACAGGCCGCCCAGGGCCGCCCGCCCAGCCGCTCCCCGCGGCCGCCGCGCCGCCCGCCCGCGCTACGGCGGCCCGAGCGGGTCGAAAAGCGGCGCTGGGCGAGCTCCGGCGCTCCGGGAGGAGGAAGCCATCAGCGTGTCTCCCCCGCGCCGAGAGACAAGCGGGGCGCGGAGAGACCCGCCCCTCGGCGCCCTGAGTGGTGTCCCCGCCGCCGCCTTCCCCCCCCCCCCCCTCCCGGTGCCAGGGGCGGTGGTGGGGTCGCTGGGGGCTGCCCCGCCACGCCTGGGCGGCCATTGCTGCCTCTGGAGCCAGAGCCCAGCCGTGCGAGCGGGACCCCGCCGGGGAAGCGGCGGGGCGGGGGGCTGCGCCCTGGTGCTCTGGGGTGGGCGAGGGGCCGGGGGCGGCCAGCCTGCCCTGACGCGGGCTGTGGGACAGGCGGGGTGGGCTTGCCGCCCGCGGCCTTGGCTGTGACACCCGTGGGGTCTCCGGGCCTCCTCGAGGGCAGCGGTGCTGAGGGCGCTTCTGGAAAGACGCGGGTCCTGCGTGTCGCTGCGGGGTGGACGGGGGGGGGGAAAGGTTGTTGAGCGACCCTCTTAGCGCCTGGTTTGGGTGATGCGCATCTGCTAACGCCATTCACCGGGTGTTGGGATCCTTTACCGGCACTACAGCGGTCACGGTGCGGGGGCAAAGCCAAACCCGGAGCAGCCGAGCTGGGTGTTACTGGATGACCACAGGACTCTGCAGCCCCGCAACAGCACGGTAGAACTTCACTGCCGAGGGTTCCCATAGATTCCCACCTATGATGAGGTCCTGGAGCGCCTTCTCCCCTCAGCTCTCCAAAGTTTTCCCTAGGAGTCTGGCAGCCCACTGTCACACCAAGATGCGGGGATGGAGCCCGGGGGGGCCAGAAATTTGGACGCTTGTGTGCTGGCTCATAGCGGCGAGAGCCTAGAAGCAAACATACACCAGGCCAGAAAGAAGGTTTTGCCCTGGAGCTGCCTAATAGCTGTTCCCCGTGGAAGAGTTCAGAGGCCACTACGCTAATTCCTGTGCTTCCCGGCTGGAGACATGCAGCTGCCCTACCATGCCATGGCAGGTACTAACCACATGAGAGGAGGTGAGGAGGCAGATTCCACAGACCACCGAGCCAGAATTGCTGTCAAAGGGCGTACATTTAGGATGTAGCGCTCTCTCTAAGAGTTCAAAGAGTTTGTACGTGTCCACACTGGCCTAACGTATATCTCCACCCCAAAGCCCTAAAGGGGAGAAAGGAAACCAGCATTTCTTAGGGTGGAGAAGTCCTTCTAGCACCCCCCTTCCTTAACGTGCGCTGCCATTTATCGCAATCTATCCTCTGTCTCTGGAGCATCTTTCTGGCTCCCCATTTCCTATTATGGGTACCCTCTCCCCTTCCCCACCTTCAGTGACTATTTCAAACCCAGAGTATTCATAGCGATTGGAGATGATCATTCCAAAATACAGCCCATGAAAATGTGATGAAGTTCAGGCACGGATTTACCATGACAGACAGTCCACGGGGGCTCTGGTCTTCCCCTTAACAGTGCCCATGGAGGCGAGCACACTGCCACCATCACAGCTTGTGACTATGTGGACCTGCACAGCCTGAATTTCAGGAAAAGGTTGTTTGCATTCAAAGTGGGATACTGAGCCAACAGAGGGGCTTGCAGGACTGGGATCTTAAGGCCCAGCTGGTCAGAAACCTGCACATACTGATGAAAACGCCCAGAGACATAACACAGGACATCTTTCTAATCTCTGTCAGCTCCAGTCGTGTCATAGTAACCTGCAGGAAGTGAATTTAAAATGTCAGGTTCTAACCTCTGTTAGGCTTCAGTTTTGATACGCAGAGAAACCCATGCTTGTTGCGGAGTCAAAAAGTCACAGGGTTCCAGGCAGCGGGGCTTTCTGAAAGATACCAAATTTTGTGAGATATGCAATAAAATTGCAAGAGTTGGTAATGTTGCAATTATTCTTAAAAGTAATTGAAGTCTGTGGGAGCTAGGAATATAAGTATTGAAACATTTAGGTATCTTAGCTTTCAGCCCCAGACATGTCCTGCAACCCAAGAGGTGGCACATAAGAGAGGATTCTTCTAGAAAATATGAATCTTGTCCATTCCTATCAACCCTATTGTCCTGCTGCTGAATAACAGTGCCCCGTTGCTAAGGGTGAAGAGAAATTCATGAAGGAAACCAGAGCTGCTGCTGAAAAAATAAAAATCCCCCTTCTGTGAAGATTTACATGTGTGCTAAATTTTATCCAGACTATCAGTTCCAGTGAGTGGAACTACTCACACTGGACATGGAGTTAAAAACGTGCACCAACCTGTATGGGACTGGGACCTGGGACTGCATGGGGGGAAAAAAATACAGTCAGTAGTTCTTAAATGTCTGCTGTTCAACAGTAAAACATCAGAGTCATCACATTTGAGAGAAACATGCATACATTTGAGAAAGAACTGAGGGATGTCTTTGAAAACAAGGGACAGCTGAGATGTTTGCTTGGGAGACGCTGTTTAAATGCAACGAGCACTGTTCCTCTTTTGTTGAAAGCTGAGCACAGCATAATGTGATTTGTGATTACAATTCTTTGTGTCTGTGAAGCGACTGAAGAGACAGGCTAACTCTGAAACATCAGTGGACTTCTAAATTCAGTGGAAAGGAACTGGGACAGGGAATGGATGTCTCTGATTTTCTGACTAAAGCATACTACCTTTCTAGTTATTTTTTAAGCAGGATGAAATGTCACAGTTTCTTCAGTTCATCCTAAAGAAAAGGATCTTGCCAATGGTTTTAAAAGAAACTTTTCCTATAGTTTTATTAATACAAACCTTGCTCTTTTTTCCTTTGATCCTATTAATACAAAAGGAAAACAAGGAGGAATCACCAGGTATTGCAGTACGAGTATTATCACACACTTATATCATCGTTAGAAGGGTCCAATTTTCCAATTATAGTATCAAATTTATGAAAGGTTAGTGCAAAATCCTTGCGCTGAGTCTACAACTACTAGAGCTTTAGTTTGGCTGAAACTGGAATAGATGATGCTTACCTGCACAGCTTCTGCGCTCCCAGTCCCATCTTCCAATAAATGCCAAATGAAGAGAAATAAACTTCTCCTTTTCATCCAGTGGCATGTCTAGAAGCAGTTGGCAAACCCACTGCTCCATGACGTGCCTCCTGATGTTGCTCTTGCTTGTGGTGTCCCAAGTAAGCTCTCCCACAGCAGCAGCCAAACTGGTGATGTGCTGGCCAGCCCTTCGCTGCTGCTTCTGTGGAAGCTCATTAAAAATACTCGTGTGGCTTGTGATAGTATGTGTGCTTCTGGCTGTGCTCACCCACCCCACCAATTACTGCTGTTCCCCTTGTTGTACTTCTATTTTCTCACTATTTCTCGCCTTTTTGTAGATTGCCTTTACTTCAGGGCAAGGCTGGTCTTTTACAATATGCTCCCGAAGGACCCATCTCCACAGGGCAACACCGTGACTGAGGTCAGTTAATGATAACCAAAGGCAACAGGATTTTCAGCTTCACTCTAGAGGTTGTGAGTTCTTCCTTGCCAGAAAAGACAATGTACCATGAATAAAATGTATTATTTTTCTCTGGCATTTGTGGCATTTTGTCTTGAATGATGTGTTCTTAAAGTAGTTTTCTGAGGGATGCCATAAATAATGAGAGAGAACAGATGCCTCAATAAATTAAATGCCCTATTTTTAAGCATTGGGTAATGAAGTATCTGAAAGGTTTTTATCTGTTGCAGAAATCCTCTGCATTTCTAAGAAATAACATCTTGCAAATAATCCCCTAATCTTCCTATTAGGGCTCCAAGCAAAAGGAACATTTTAGAAGTGACTTTAAACAAACTCATTTTCCTAGTCAAAAAATACCATGATAAAAAAGACCATGTAAAAGAGGACGCAAAGCAACAGAGCAGAAGTGCTACACGAGCCTTCTCTGTGTGATATGAAAACCTTTCCTTGAACTTTTTCTCCTTACACACAAGCTCTCCTCACCTCCTGCGGCCAGGCAGGGGCCGGGAGGTGACGCCGGCCAGCCGTGCTGACTGGTGAGGGCAGCCGTGGTCCCGTCACTGGACCAGCAGCAAGCTGCTCCATGCCCCTGAAACCCTGACGTGTCGGTACCACTGGGCAGCCGTGACCCAGGCTGGTTGCTTGATCAGCTTGGCTTTGCCATTTTTAAATCGATTTCTTAGTCAGAGAAGCTGATCTGAGAAAGGATTTCTTTTTTTTCTAGACACCGACGTGCTGGAGCTCACCTGCTCCGAACTGGAAGTTGTGGCAGCCAGCACGAGCAATTGAGGCCAGCTCAGACACCAGGTGAATTAGTCAGGGATCAGCGTCACACTCACGCGGATTCATAGCTTCCGGACAGCTTAGAGCATGGGTTGGACTCGCTCACATGTATCTGCAAGAATAGTGGGGACAGACATTTTGCTCCACGCCCTCATTGCCACTTTCCTGAGCAGCTTTCAGGCCAAGTGAAGGGCAGAGAACACATTTTTTTTCCCCACAAACTTTGACACCCTGGGGAAGAAGAGCATTCAGTCTTCCTCTCTAAGGGTTGTCTACACTTCTACCTCCAGAGGACCATGGCACTGCTTTCCAGTTAGGCTAACGGCTGTCATTTTAGCCTCACAGGATGTTGATTCAGCAGGGTCATGATGCCGTTTTCCACCTGTTGACTTGTTAGAACAGTGAACAGCAGGCACTCAGACGGGGAGAGAGGGTGGAGGAGGAAAGATAAACAGATTTGGTCTAGTCCAGAATAAAAATAACTATATGAGAAACTAGACGGGCAGAGGGCAAGAGGAGTAAAGCAGCTACCATGCAGTATATAGAGGGCATTTTACATTTAATTTTCCTCCAACCATGAAAATGACAGCAAACCTAATAATAATTTCATTATTAACCTCTTAATTAGGTATGAGTTTGCCCTGGCAAAATACACTGAGGATTCTTCACAGGACACACCAAGGTCTCCAAAGCTCAATGTACAGCATGTCAGGTGATGAAACCCAACCAGAGTGACTTGGTTTTGTTGACTTGTTTTCCCGCAGTGAGCTTTGTCCCTTCCTCTCTCTCCTTTACCGCCACAGCGACAAGGGAAAAGCAGAATAAGTTTCTGGAAATTGCTTCCAATCATAGCCTGGGTCTTTTTATCAGGCTCCTGGTACCTGACTTGAAAAGTTTAGATTCCAGCCAGCAGCTACACAGGATCTTTTCTTCA